GGTATATACGGTATATACCCTATGCACCTTTATATACTTTATATATATATATATATATATATATATATATATATATATATATATATATATATATATATATATATATGTATAAATATGCACATCCTTGTGACAGTTGGCATATGGTGTAATTTTCTATTTCATCAAAATGTAAAATCCCTTCAACAAATTAAATTATAATAAAACTAAATTGCTTTTTTTAAACCAATCTATGATTTTCCTCTTATGTTTGGTGAATTTATGTTCAAATAAGTGGGTCAGTGTAGATGGAAAAATGCCAGGGCCAAAAATCGTATATATATATATATGTATATATCACAGCTGAAGTCTCTTATTTAACAGGATTATTATACAAGGTTATTGCCCACGGTATCAAATGGGTATTTATATAGATGGGTATTTTTTATATATAATTATTTATCAAATATATTAACAGGTTATTGCATGGGGTATTAAATAGTAATTGCATATTAGTAAGTGACCAAGTTATTGCCGTTATAGTGCCGCATTATACAGTCTGATGGCAGCAAGGATAAATTACCTGTGGTACCGCTCCTTTTTACAAACAGGGTGTATAAGTCTTTTAGTAAAGGAGCCGCTAAGCTCCTCTACAGTCTGGTGCAGGAGGTGAGAGGTGTCAACTGAGATGACTGAGAATTTGACTTTATTTAACTTAGGTTAAATACTAACAGACAGAAATTTGCATAGATTCACACTGCTTAAGCTTTTTCCCATTTCTTCACATTGCAACAAACTTTAATCTATTTAAGTAGTTTACCAGGTTATCTCTTTCTTTAGCCGACTGGAGGTCTAGTTGGTCGAAAAATAAAACCACACATCACAAAGACATACAATATCTTGTCTTTTTAGTCTAAAACCAGATGTAACATTTTTTGAATTCAAAGAAAGAAAAAAAGGTGTGAAAGAAGTTCTCACAGATGTAGTGAAAACAGCTTGTGTGTTTGGTTGTAGATGTGGCCGTTGGCGCTCCACAGGAAGACGACCTCAAAGGAGCCGTCTACATCTACAATGGCAGGAAGGAAGGCATTTCACAAACGCCATCACAGGTACAATCTCCACTGCAGTGGTGTGAACGTCTGCAAGTTTGGATGTGATGGGGAAATAATTTAGCTTAGTTAAATACACTGTATTGGGTCAAGATGTAATTTTAGTTTTAACAGTGCATTTTAATCTTGATTCCCACACTGTGCATATTCAGAGGATTTCAGGGTCCTCCTTGGGTCATGACCTTAGGATGTTTGGGCAGTCACTGAACTCTGGGATTGATATCGATGACAACGGCTACAAAGGTAAAAGGACTTAGGATCTTCTCGATATTTCTATGTTGTTATCACTGGATCAGTGTTGAATTTGGTTTAACTGTGTCTCTAAAGATGTGGCTGTGGGAGCATTCCTCTCAGACTCTGCTGTGGTTCTCAGGTAAATGAATAATGTTTTTTTTCTGTCTAAACAAAACATTTTCCAGTCATAACGATGCATCCACACATAGGTGTATAGAAAGGGAATATTTTATATGTATATATATATATATATATATATATATATATATATATATATATATATATATATA